CCCTGTAGAATTTTCTACCTGCAGTGACCAGCGTGGGCTTGTCCGATGACAGGAGCACACACCCCTTCTCTTTGTCCCCCCTCAGGGCCTCTGTGGGGAAAGAGGCTTTCAGCGTCACTCTGGCGGCAGACAGGCCTTACTTAGCCAGGCTTATTAATAGGAGCCGTGTCCATTTCTGTCTTAAAATAGCCATAGAAAGTTACTTAATATGAGCTTCCAGGTGGGTGGTCAAATTGCTTTTATTGTCTTCCTCTCAGGGGAGTTCAAGAACAGCCATCTGCCAGGCATAGGGGCCTCCTGGCTCCAATGAGAGGGGCCTGCCCAAGGGAGGGGTACTGGACTTGGAGGGCAAGAACCTTGGCCTAGAACAAGGCCCCACCACCTGCATAGCTCAGGCTCTAAATACTGAAGTTCTAAATACTTTAAGAGGGTCTCTGCCCAGAACAAGGGCCTTGCAACAAAAAGTCCCTTCTGCGACCTCAAATTCCACACCCCGCCACCTGCACCATTACTTGCCCTCCTTGAATTTCTTACTCATCCCACTTCCAAACCCTATTTAGCCATTACACCCTCAGGAACCCTCCATCCACTGTGGACACACACTCCCTTTATCCCCGGATTCTCGGTAGAAGGCTCTCATCATCTTTTGTTTTAACAGAAGTCTTCACTCTCTATGTAGCCCTTCAGGAGAAAGTTGCTCACCCTCTCAGGCCCATATCCTACACCTCTGAAGTAGAAGTGGTGGCTGGATTTTCCTGGCTTCCCTCTGTCACTTCCACAACCATTGCTTGTCCAGACTCACAGCTTTCTTTGAGCCTCATGCCATCCAACATCTCTCCTCCCCAATACTGAAAACTGTCCAATGCTCATTCACTGAATAATTCATGGCCTGGCTCTCAGCATTCCTCTCCTGCTGAAGTCCTGTGTCACCCTAAGAGATTTCAGTGCCCAGGCAGACAACTGACTGGACTGTTACTTCCTTGATCTCTTTAACTCCAAGGGACCTCACCTCTACTCTGCTTCAGCCACCACTCCCAGACCCCACCCTTGATCTTGTCATGACCCAGGACTGTGTCATCTGGATTCTAGTAACCTCCTTCATGGTTGCATTGTCCCACTCTTCTGGCTATCTCAAGCCTTCATACCCATGATACCTGCACTCTGACCTCCAAGAGACCCCAGCTCTTTGTTCCTTTCCATTTCCTCCAGTCTATCAGTCCCCCCAGCTGGAAGTCCAGACTTGGTAGGTGATCATGTGAACTGCACTCACACCAGTACCACCAGTTTCCTTGCATGCTAACCAGCTATGCCTTCCTGCCCCAACAAATTCCAGTTATTTTCTTCCAGCCTCCATGGAGACCGTTCAAGTCCTGCTCTTCAACCTGTGCCTGGGACTTCCCCTGCTGATTCCTCTGTTACAACCTCTCCTCTCTGCTTCAACACTCTCACTCCTCCGATATTTTCCTCTTGCCCTATAAATCTGTCCAGTCTATTGCATCTGACAAGAACTCTCCTAAGTTCTTTCTATCAACCTCCAATTTGAGCTCCCCCTGCGATAATCTACTCACGTGTCCCCTCTTTCTCTTACACATTCCCCAACCCACTGCACTCTGGCTTCTGTCCTAACCATGCCATGGAAACTGCTTTCCCTAAAGTCATTGTTCTAGGTACTATTACTGTGTAATAAAGTACAAATTACCCCAAAACGTAGTGGCATAAAACAACCATTTTATTATGCTTGTGCATTTTGAGGGTCTGGAAGTCAGATCGGTCACAAAGTATCGCTTGTCTCTGCTCCATGATGATGACCAGAGAGACCTAGACGCGCCTCTCTATGTGGTTTGGCTTCCTCACAGCATGGTGGCCTCAGGGTAGTCTGGCTTCTTACATGGCATGGCCTAGTGTTCCAGGAAATGAGGTGGAAGAAGCATTGCTTTTTATGATTCAGAAATTGTGACTTTTATAGCCTCAGAAGTCCCATAGCACCACTTCCACCATGATCACTAATCAAAGTGGTCACAAGCCCTCCCAGAATCAAAGGGAGATAGTATAGACCCCATCTCTCAATGGGACAGAGGCAAGGTCACATTGTAGAAGAGCATATGGGATAGGAAATATTGTTACAGTCATCTCTGAACGATACAATCTGCAACAGTCTTCAATGATCTTCCAATGACCGATTCCAAAGGATGTTAATATCTTGATCGCTACTGTATTTGTTATTGCCGATCATTCCCTGCTTTGTGAAACTGTCTACATCCATCCATCTGGGTTACCACAGTCTTCCTATTCTAGACAGACCTCTGTCTATATCTTCCCCTTCATGAGAATGTTCCCTAAGGGTTTATTCTCAGCCCACAGCTTACCTCACTCTTTGGCTTCTCTCCCATGGCTTCGGTTACCATCTACATGCCATTAACTCCCAAATCTATCCCACACAGACCTTTTAAGCATTGGACTATATATCCATCAGCCTGGTTGATGTGTTCATAAATACCTCAATTTCAGCGTCTCCAAAGTTGAACTCACCATCTTCCACTTTAAACCATCTCCTCCTCTGGTATTCTTTCTCTCTCTTAGGAATACCCAGTTGTCCAAACTTTGACTCTTCCTTTTCCCTCACCTTTCACATGTAATTACTTACCAAGTCATGCTCTTTTTGTCTCTTAAATCATTCTACAAATTTTGTTATCATTTTACAGATGAAAATATTGAGAATCAGAGAGGTTGTTATTTCCCAAGGTTAAACAGCTAGCATCTATTTCGTCTTTCATGTGTTAATCAAACACTTATTGAATACAACTAAGCTCTAGGAAGTGGAATAAAAAAAAGTTATGACATGGTCCCTGGTCATTTTCATGGAAGAGATTGGCAAGTAAGCAGTAGATTACTATAATGTGTGATAAATGCTGTGATTCTGGGAAGCATTGGGTACAACAGGGGCAATGAGTCCAACTGGGGGTGGGAGAAGTGAAGGTGGGGGCTGTAGTAGTCATCTATTGCTATGTAACAAATTATACCAAACTTTAGCTGCTTAAAACAGCAAACATGTATTAGATCACCATTTCTGTGGGTCAGAAATCTGGGTACTGCTTAGTTGGTACCTCTGGCTCAAGGTCTCACAAGGCTGCAGTCAAGGTGTCATCTGGGACTGAAGTCATCTCAATGCTTGACTTGGGGAGGATTCATTCTGAATCAATACCCCACTCACCTGGCTGTTGGCAGGCCTCAGGTCCTCACTGGCTCTTGGCCAAACGCATCAGTTTCTTGCTATGTGGGCCTCTCCCTAGGACTACTCACAACAAGGCACCTGACTTCCTTGAGCAAGGGTTATGAGAGAAAAAGAGTGAGAATAAGGCAAGAGGAGAGGGAGCCCAAGATGGAAGCCATGGTCTTTTTGTAACCTAGTCTTATAAGTGATATCCCATCACTTATGTCATATTCTGTTTCTTAGAAGTGAATCACTGGGTGTAGCCCACACTCAAGGGAAGGGATTGCACAGGGCATGAAGACCAGGATGAGGCACTCGCTGGGGAACATCTCAGAGATGGTCTATCATAAGGGTCAGGGATATCTGAACTAGACTCAGAAGGAGTTAGATAGGTGAAGAGCTATGTAAGACCGTTCTAGGCAGAGAATGCTATATGTGAAATAACTTGGAAGTGAGGGAGGGAGAGCTCCTGGAGTTGGAGGAATTACATGTTCAGGAAGGTTAGAGTGGAGGCTGCCATCCATATGGAGATTAGAATGCAAGCTGATGTTGATGACCAATTCTGTCATCCAATGGATCACCTGTGCCTCCCAACTTAGTGTCAAATCCTTGCTTAATATGCTGTTGTCCACTCTATGATTTAACCAAGTTTTAAATAGTTAATCAACATTGAATATTTCACATACACAACAAAGCTTCATTATATAAAAAGATAAAGAAATTGAACTTGAAATCTCTTTTTTCTTTACAAAACCTCAAAGATGCTCAGAATGATATTCCAGTAGAACACATTTATAAATCATTACAAATGTGAAAAGCATGACTAGTATTTTCAGTTATCAGTAGGTAAAGATGACTTGACACTCTGGAATGTATTTAATTTTTAAATAAAATTTTACATTGAAGTATAACACACAGAAAAGCCCACAAAGTACAATTCAATGAATTTTCACAAAGTAAATATCACCCAGATTGAAAAAAAAGAAAACATATCACTCTCCCCTCCAAATCTCCATTGTGCTACCTCATAGTCGCTCACTCCTTTCCAAAGATACCCACTACCCTGATTTCTCTCATCAGAGCAGTTTTTCCTGTGTTTGAACTTTATTAAATGGAATAATATATTCTGTACTCTGTTCTTGGTGCTCATTATTCATTTTTGTGAAATTCATTCATGTTGTTTAAATGTAGCAGGGACTGGTTCATCCTCACTGCTGTATAGTATTACATTGCAGTGCTAAAACACAGTTTATTTCTCCATTCTGCACTGGATATAAATTTAGACTGTTTCTAGTTTGGGGAAATTAAGAATAGTAGTGTTATAACCATTCATGATTATGCCCCATGTTGTAAATATGTACACATTTTTATTTGGTCTATGCCTAGGAGTGGAATTACTGGGTCATTAGTAGATTCAGACAGTTTCCCAAGGTGGTTTTTACCAACTTACACTCCAGGAGCAATGTTCCCAAGGTGGTTTTTACCAACTTACACTCCAGGAGCAATGTTTATGTGTTCCATTTGCTCTATATCCTTGCCAACACTTTGTATTATTGATATTAATGTTTTTACTATAAGTTATTCTGAAGTGTGTACAGTGAGACCTTATTGGGGACTAATTTACATTTCTCTAATAACTAGTGATATTGAGCATTTTTTCATATGGTTGACCTTTGAATGTCTTCTATCATGAAGTGTTTGCTTAAACTTTTGCTCATTTCTCTATTGGATTTTTTTTCATATTGCTTTGCAGACATTCTTTATATATTGTACTAATTTCCTTGGAGAGCCATAACAAAGTACCGTCAACTGAGTGGCTTAAACAACAGAAATGTATTGTCTCACAATTCTGGAGGCTAGAAGTCTGAGATCAAGGTGTTGGCAGAGTTGACTCCTGCTGAGGGCTAGGAGAAAAAGTCTGTTTCACAATTTTCTCCTAGCTTCTGGTGGTTTGCTGGCCACATTTGTTATTCCTTGGCTTGAACATCTCTGATTTCATCTTCACATGGTATTCTCCCACTGAACATGTCTCCATATCCAAATTTCCCCTTTTATAAGGACACCAGTCATATTGGAGTAGGGACTCACCCTACTCTAATATGACTTCATCTTAACTAATTACATCTGCAATGACCCTATTTCCAAACAAAGTCACATTCTAGGGTGCTAGGGGTTAAGACTTCAACATATGAATTTGAGGGAGAGGGACACAATTCAACTGATAACGTTTTTTGAACATTAGTCTCCTAGTCTGTGGCTTGCTGTCACTCTCTCAATAGTATTGCAGTAGATTAAAGGTGACTATAAGTTCTTTTTCACTCTCTCATTGAGAATTGGTGTTTATTACTCCCTCCCTCTGAATCTAGGCTTGCCCTGTGACTGCTTAATCAATAAGACATGTTGAAAGCAATGCTGCATCAGTTCTGGTCCTGGCTTTTGAGAGCTTGGGCAGCTTCTACTTCTTCCTTCTCTGGAAGACTTGCTCTTGAGACACCAGTCTGTTAGAAGTCCGAGCCATATGGAGAGGCCGTGTGGAGGTACTCCTAAGTCAGCAGCCCTAGCAGAGCTCCCAATCAATAACCACCATTGATTACCCAGTCATGGAAAAGAGCCATCTTGGACGTTCCATCTCAGATGAGCTTTAGATGACGCAACCCCAGCCAGCATCTGCCCAGCTAAGCCAGCCCACCCTCACCTTCATAAGAGGGAAAAAAATGACTGCTGTTTGTGTCAATAAGTTTTTTTTTTTTGGCTGCATCATGAGGCATGTGGGACCTTAGTTCCCCCCCCCCAGGGATGGAACCCGTGCCCCCTGCAGTGGAAGCGTGGAGTCCTAACCACTGGACCGCCAGGGAATTCCCATTGTGTCAATAAGTTTTGATGAACAAAAGTTCTTAATTTTAATGTATTCCAAGTTTATCAATACTTTTCTTTAGGTTTAGTGCCTTGTTTAAGACCTATTGGCCTCCTTCTAGGACATGAGTCTTCTCTATGTTATATTCTGGAAGCTTATTGATTATCTTTCACACTTTAATCTACATTAGCTAAATGATTTTTGTATATGATATAATGTAGTGGGGACATATTCCTTTTGAATTTAATGATAATAGTAACTTTTTTGAATTTAAAATTAAGCGTGGTATAAAACACCAACATAGTAGTAATTTAACCTCACAAGTAAGCAAGAGAAAACTTGACATCTCCATAATTATTTTACCCATCTGCTAACCTATCACTCCCCAAATAGGTCTGAAGACAATGGAGAATTAGTTACTTATTCACTCATAAAACATTTATTGAGAGATTTACATTTATGTGTGCCAGATTCTGAACTAGATGCTGAAAATAGGCCTCTCTTCATGTAATTACAATCTTGTGGGAGAATGGGCAATAACACATAATTTAGATTATGCTGAGTGTTACGAGAAAAGCAGAGATGCTACTGGAGACCAGGAACTCCTAACTTAGTCCAGGGGGAGGTTGGGGTACATCAGAGAGATTCCTCACAGAAGTGATGCTTGAGACTCATGGGATGAATATTAATTATCTAGACAAAGAATTGGAGGGATGAAAATTCCAGGCAGAAGAAAACACAGCATGTGCAGAGAACTCCAGGTAGGGAATAATCCAGCATGTTAGAGATACTAAAGGAGTCTCGCGTGGCTAGAGAAGTGAGGGTGAGGTGGACACAAAATGAAGCTGGAGAGGTAGGAAGGGGCTAGACTTGTAAGCCTTCTTAAAGGAATCCAGGTTTTATCCCAGGAGCAATGGGATGCCTTTCAGAGGGTTTAAGCAGGGGAGGGGCATGGTCACATTTGTGTTTTTTGAAGATCACTAAGGCTGCCTTGTAATACAAGGTAGATGTTAGGCTGCAGGCCTGCAAGGTAGCTGTTACTCCACAGACCTGCAAACCTTGTAAGAGTCCAGCTGCGAGGCCGAAGAAAGGGCCTGGAGACAACGACAGAGACATTAAGTATATATTGGATAGTGAATCTTACAAGTCCAAAGCGAAGTCCTGGAGTGACATCTCACCATGTACAGCAGACAGTGGCAGGACCCAGCAGCAGTCTTCTAGAGGGGAGAGGGTGGAATCTACCAGTTATAGGGGGTATTGACGTCAGGTTGGCTCATCAATTACCAGGGAAACCAGCAGCTGGGGTGGAGGTCAAGCGCCATAGGCCGTTACTGATTAAGCCCTATGATTAAGAGGATTGAATAGTCGTGTGAGTAGGGTGTAGGTGAAGCAGGGACTGGACAGCAGGGGATGTACAGAGAGCAAGACAAGAGCCATCTTGAGGGCCCTGACCATACAGTAGAACATGAGCAGTGTCTGACACAGGCTTCAAAATGCCACGGTGGTCCCAAGGATGGAGAAATCCCATTGTTGGGGCAACAGGAAGGCCTTTATGGAGAAGGTACAGTTGCATGGTAGAATTATTTGGACATGAGAAGACAGAGTGTGTGTGTGTGTGTGTGCGCGCGCGCATGTGCGGGTGCGTGCGTGCGTGTGTGTGTGTGTGTGTGTGTGTGTGCGCGTGTGCATGTGCGTGTTGGGAGGCAGAGGAGAAAGAGTCCAGGTATAGGCAGTGGCCTGCGCTCAGTCATAAGCTAGATAAGTGTGGGACATGTTTGGGGAATGGTTAAGTGTCCAGTCTGGCTGGAGGATAATGGGGGATAAACCTGGAGGGATAGGTAGCGGATATGAAGGGCCCCAGAAGGCGTACATGGATACCTATATGCACAGCCATTCCTCATAACGTGTGGCTTCTGTGTTTGCACATTCACTTACTTTGCTAAAATTTATCTGTAACCCCAAATCAATACTTGCAGCAAGTTTGTAGTCATTTGTGGATATGTGCAAAATTTTTACCAAAATTTTGAGTCAACTTGTGTGCACCTTCCCAGCTGAGGTTGCAAGGTGACCCTCTGCTTTTGTATTTCAGCCTCTTGCTATAAACAAACGTCCTTTTTGTGGTCTATTTGGTGGCACTCTTTTGCATGTTCACACTTTTTGCAGGTGATTTCACTGTTCAAGGCAGCCCCAAAGCATACTGCTGAACTGCTACCAGCGTTCCTAAGCACAAGCAGGCTGTTTTTTGGAGAAAATACTTGTGTTGGATAACCTTTGTTCAGGTGTGAGTTATGGCACGGTTGGCCATTAGTTCAATGTTTATGAATCAATGATACATATTAAAAATATAATGTGTGTATATATATATTTTTTTTTCTTTAAACAAAAACATAAAACAAAGCTATGTATTGATCAGTTGATGAAAATGTGCCAAAAGGCTTATAGGAACCTAATCCTGTATTTTCCCTGGGAGCAATGGTCAATATTAGCAATTTCAGTGTTTGCTGCCGCTTTATAAAACTTCCTGGAATAATGAGCATTGACTGTACCTATGCACACAGTTGCCCCCTGGGAGCCAGTTATTAAACACTACCAACACACCATTGACTGGTGTGTCCTTCCTTGAAGCAGGATCTGAGTAACCCATCTCCACACTGGCTGTAATTTCCAGGCCCCCAGTTAGAGAAGATTCAGTCTTTGGAGTCACCAAGACCTGTGTTTGAACCCACCTCCCCAGTTTACTAGCTGTGTGCCCACAGGCAAGTGACACTGTGCCTCCCCATCCTTGAAAGGAGAATAAGAACCATTTCACAGTTTTTATTGTCCCAATGAGATCATGTATGTAAGATCCTCAACCCAGTGCCTGGCACATATATGGCAAACGGTGAATACCTGTTAATCCTCCTACACTCTCCCCCAAATTCCAGGAAAAGGTGGAGGCAAGGAGGCACTGCGTTCTCTGTCTGCTGCTCAGTTCCTTGATTATGCAGCTCCAGGCTCCAGAAGTGTGATGCAGTCATTCTAAATTGGATTATCAGACTCACTCTGTCTGAAAGGCCCAGGCTGAGTCTTGCAGTGGAGATGCCCAAACCTGAGATTCTAGAAGACCTGCTGTCTGCAAAGGGTTCTCTCTTCTCAGGACCGCCCAAGGGTCCACTTTCCAGTCTAATTCTTGTTGCTTTCCTGTCATGACAGGAAAAATAGGCAATGCTCTAGCCCATGTCTCGGTGTCCATGGATTCTGGTTTTGTGAGGGGCAAGGGGGTGGGTGTATTTGCTTAGTTTGTTTTTCATCCTGTTTCTCAATACACTCATCTGGGATTCAGAAGCCCCGGCTGCCCCAATTCAGACCTTGTTTTCTCTGACTCAGCTTTACCCTCAAGACACAGCTTCACCTCTGAGTCATCAGGCTGAGCTTTCGAGGACAGCAGTCGGGCACTCCCACTCCAGCCTCCCAGGAAAGGTGCTCTGTCTCCACACCCCAGTGCCAGCCCCATGCCTAACTTGGCTCACAATGCCTAGAAACCAAGAAACACAATCTTAATGAGATCAGAGGATGCAGAGAGAAAAGGCTTCAGGATCAGGAATCAGAATGCCTAGCTTTCAGTTCCAGCTCTAGCAATTACCTTGTGCAACCTTGAGCTAGTGAGGGAAACCTCCTGAACAGGGGTGTCCTCTTCCATAAAATGGAAATAGTAATCCATGCTGGGTCCATCCTGTAGGGGCAATGAGAGGCCCAAATGAAATAGTGTGAAGTACCCACAACTCAAGGGCACAAACCCCTGCTCCATGGGCTGGATCTGTTCCATAAACTAATTTCATTTGGCTTGAACAATATTGACTTATATATCAAGTGCTTAGCATTTTAAAAATGAGTTGTCAACAAATTGGGAAACTTCACTTAGAGATCTGGATTTACAGCTTCTCTTGAAAACTGGGTCGATCTGGTCATATTAACTTGTTGCCCTGAATGGCGAAAATTGGCGAGAGCTGGGTAGCAGCAGCCCCTTCACTTAGCAGGAGCCTGGAGCTGCCCTCAAGTGCACCACAGTCCCCACCGCTCCCTATTATTCCCAATACTGAGGCCAAAACTCTGCGCCATTTATTGTGGCTCTAGGGCCATTGATTTGCTTCTAGTGGTGCCCTAGAGGAAGTAACTCATTATAACAACCATGTTTCCATCAAAATGGGAAAAGGAAAGTCTCCGAAGTGTCCCTTGCCCCAAATTATCTCCCCTCTTCACAGTTTCAGTGTTAAAAATGAAATCCCTTTGGTTAGGTTTTACCTGGCACCAATGGACCCTCTGAAAGGTGCGCATAGTGGGTCAGAGCTGGGGTCTGGAGTCCTGCAGGTTCCATGCATTCTACCCCTCCCATGCCTGTTTGTCCCCATCCGTAAAATGGGGCGGTACCAGCTCTTTGCTCCTAAGTTTATTGTGCACTTTATCGTGCACGGTATGGCACGCAGTGAGCAGGTCGTTCAAGGTTAGTGACTGAAATGCAAATATTGTGAACTGATAAAAGGCGTCGTGGGAGATGAAAGTGTGAAGTGACTTAGTGGGGCTAAAGCAATGGTGGGAAGCAAAAAAGCAAAAGGAAAAGGAAATGACTTAGGAGAGAGGAAAAGGTCGGTTACATCCGTCCCTACCCTGCATCCACCTCCGCAATGAAAAAATCCCCGGGGCGATGTACATCCCCTCACTGCACTCGGACTCCGTTACCCAGACTGGGTTCTAGTCCTGGCTTGGGCAAATCATTACCTTGTGTGATGATGTCTTCCCATCCGTAAGAGGATAGAAATGCCTCAACAGTTAGTTACTGTTGTAGTAAGGATGAACTAAAGTAAATGCACATGAAGGCACTTTGGAAATCTGAAAAGCGCTCTACACAGGTTAGGAGTTTGCTTTCTTCAAAAAGTTTTTCCTCCAAACTCCATCCAAAAGCTTTTTGAGTTTATCAAGTCTAAGACCCTCCCCTCGGTTTCGCAATGCCGCCCCTTCCTACACACCAAAGCCCGCGCCGCGTCAGGAGTCTTTTTTTCCCCTGACGAAGGCGGGGACTCGGGTGGTGTTGGCAGCCGGCGACGCCGGGCGCAGCTTCGGCCGCCCGCGCCTGGCCAGTCCCGCAGCGGCCGCGGTGGGTGTGCCCGGCTGGGTGTGCGCCCCGGGCTCAGGCCGAGCCCGCCGGCGAGAGGGCGCCCGAGGCGGTGCGCGCCCCGGACGACGAGGGTGCGCTAGCCTGGTGGAGCGCGCCCGGGACGGGGACTGTGCTCCCGGAGGCTGCGTGCGCCCTGAAGTCCGAGGCACAGCCGGCTCCCCCCGCCGGCCTCCCGCGGCTCGCCGAGGTAAGGCGCTCCGCCACCCTGGCCCTTCCCGCACCGGCCCGGCGCGACCCGGGTCTTGGCCCCGGCGCTCGGCCCCTTTCCTCTGCCTCCGCCACCCGCCTCGCCCCCTCCCCGCGCCGCATCCCCGGCTCCCCTAAAGCAGAGGCTGCGGCAGCCTGGGCCGACTTGGCGCCCCCTGCCCCCCACCGGGGTCCGAGCCCGCGCGGGGAGGGGGCTGCCCAAGGGCGGGCGCCACTCGCCTTCCGCCCCACCCGCTCCCCGCGCCCTAGTGCCGGGGACGGAGGATATTGGGGAGCGGGGAGGCCGCGTTGTCCTTGCGGCTCGGATGGTGCAGCCCCCGCCCAGCGCCTCCGAGCCCAGAGCCTCCGAGCCCGGCGCTGCGGTCCGGGATGCAGCTTGCGGGACTGGGGCACCCTGCCGCCGGCTCCCAGGACTACCAGGAATCGAGCTCCTAGTCTTCCTTCTTCCGCAAAAGCCGGCCCCCGATTCCTACTCGGGTACCCTCGGCCCCTGGCTGAACTTTCCAGCGCTCCTGTTGGACCACGACCTTGGGTGGAGGCAAGGGGGCCTCTAGGGGGGCCGGATGTGCTGGCGGCCGCCCCCGCCGAGGGCGCTTTTGCTGAGCACGCAGGCCACTGGTGAGATTCCCTCCCTGTCATCTTTCCCTTAAGGTCAAACTTTTGACCCCAAGTACTTTGTCCCTGCAGAGTGGCCAGTTACTTAGCATGGGATTTGGAAAGTCGAGCCCCATGGTCCCTACACCAGGTCTGCATTTGCACTTGCCCTGAGCATCTGCCAGGACTGCAGGAACCAGTGGTTTTGGTTCCCAGGCGCCCTAGGGTTTGGGCTTGGAAGGCCGGGAGGAGGTATTTTCCAGGAGAAGGAGATGGAGGCTCCTCCTCCTTTCTGAGGATGACCCCGCGAAGCCTGGGCAAAGTCCTATTGACCAAGTAGGGTCAGGGGAGGACCAGATGCAGCCGGTGACCCGGTTGAGGCTTGGGGAGAAAGCATCCTGAACACGATTCCCAAGGACTTGCCTGGGTAAACCAAATGTGGGTTCCCTTAGAGCCTTTCAAAACAGGACACAGGAGAACACAGAGCTACATTTGGAATAAAGGCAGAGTTCACTCTGATATTGCCTTTTCAAGTCCAACCCTCCTGCGCATGTCCAAACCTCCTCCTCACTGGACCGTAATGTGAGTTGAGTTATGGGGAATGTTAATGGGCAGTGAGAATGGGGAATGGCTCAGGGTCCACACCAGACTTTCATTCAATCAACAAATACTTGCTCTGCGCCAGGCACCAGGCGAGGGAGTGGGATACAGATATGAACAAAACTGGCACTGTCTGGCCTCGTGGAGCTTGCAGTCTAGTGGCCAAGAGTGACTTGAATCAACTCACTCAAATAAATATAGAATTACAAACAGTGCTGAATTGCTTGAAAGGAAAGGATAAGGCGCTATGAGAATCTGTGATACATACAGTAGTCGCTTAGTCGGAAGGCTGATAAGAAGTAACTAGTTCAATAGGGCAGAAAGAGTCTTCTTGGCAGAAGGAACGGCATGTGAGAGGGCCCTGAGGCAAGTAGCAGAGTCCTTTGGAGGGACTGAAAGACTGTTTACCAAGTGATGACCAGGGGCCCAAATGGGCATGTGCCTTACTTCTGCATCCCATCACCTGGGCCAATCAGTACCTTCCTTTCTCATCCATAATCACGGGCAGTTGGAGTCCCCCTGGCTGGGAGAGAAGAAGGAGAGACTAACATGCTGGTACGGGACTCACCCGCCCCATGCACGCACTTACTACTGGCACCTTTGCAGACAGCCCATGTCCACTCAGGGCGCCAAGAGGCAGCAGTTCTTTCCTCCAGTTGTTCCCTGTTGCCCACTGTGTTCATGACTGACCAAGGCTTCTGCCAGAAATCAGAAAGATTCATGCTGGGCGTGGTGGTTCACCCTAGGCTTTTAAAACTAGAATGAACTCATTGCCTACAACAGAATACTTTTTAGGGTAGCTTGCATGGCATTTCCTAATCTGGGCCCTGCTTGCCTTTCCAGCCTCATTTCTGGCTTCTTCCCCCCGCTGCCCCCAGTGAGCATCTCCTATGTTCTACTCACAATTGCCCTTCAGGAAGTTCCTGGAACACTTGCTGCCTTTGCACATGCTGCCCTTTCTCTAAAATACACTTCCTCCTTGTTCACCCAGTGAATGCGCCCTCAGCTTTCAACATCAACATTTAACGTAAGGTTCCCCCACGACCCCGAAGGCCTTTCCTGACCAGAGAGTCAAATGCTCCCTCTTCTTTGTTTCTGAAGCTCCCCTGACAGGCTTCTATCACAGCGAGCATAAAATGCACCTGAGCTTCGTAAAGGCAGGACTCTCCTATCATGTACCTAACACAGAGAAGGACATAGAAGGTGCTCAGTAAATGCTTACTAGACTAGAAAACCATCTAGTCTAGTATTTTTTAACTTTTTTATGGGGGGGGAGTGTTACGTATATCTTTGAGATTCTGATGAAAATTATGGATACTCTCTTCCAAATGCATATAACCTAAAATATTTTGCATACAATGTCACATGATTCACAGCCCTCCTCTTCCCCCATTGACCCCACTTTCTAGAACTTTGGACTTTAATTTTATAGGAAACAGAGGCCCAGTGAGGTGCAGTAACTGCCCAATAACCCCTGCAACACACAGACACACCCTCTCCCCACCCCAGCTCCTGACTCTCAGGCCAGGGCTCCTTCCAGCTCTCTCTGCTTCTCCTAGTCAAACAGCCTCTTTCTGTCCCTCGCACTTTGTGAAGGCTGCTGCTCGTGGCTGGAAGATGGATATCTTGGTTTTGCTTCAGTTCAGTAGCAGCCTAAGGTGTGACAGGGAGACAAATTTTGTTATGGGCAGAGTTGACAATTAGGAAGACAGATGGGCCATCTCCCTGGCCTGTTCACTGCCCCTTGCCTGCAATGTTATTACATCTGTTTTAGCTGGAGGAGGGTCACGTGTGCCTCACAGTTGTCTTGTGGGCCCTGGATTGAGCCATGTGGGCTAGGTTTGGAAACGCTCTGGATGGGACCCTTGAGGTCAGGGGCCTAGCTCTCGGTCTTGTCAAAGTCTTCCTCCCCGTAGAGCAGGCTATGGGAAGGCATGGAGAGAATGGGGTTCTCGCTCGCCGCTCCTGGAGCTCTTGCGTGCCTGCCTCCAGCTTTCTGCAACGAGACGCGTGCTTCAGGCAGCTGGGCCCACGCAGTGCCCAGCTTATCTGCAGATCAGTATCTTCAATGATACAGTAATTCACTCATTCATCAAAACTGCATCGTGTCTCTTCTTTGTGCCGGGCACTGTGCTGATTCCAGTTGATAAGGAAGGGTCGTGGAGTGTGAGCCAGAGATAGACGGTTTTGCTCTGTGGAGCGTGGGGAAAGAGGTAACCTTTACTTCTAAGTCAACCCATTCCTCGGATGGTGTGCTAGGGAGGACAGTTAGGGCAGCTAAGAATGTGCTCAGTTTTAAAACTCTGATCTCACGCAAGTTATGTCATCTTTGCTGGGGACTAAATTTTCCTAACTGTAAAATGGGTTTGATAACCATCTTTTCTTGCTTATCTCTGGGCAGCTGTGCGGATACAGTTATCACATTTCACATGGCAGATCCATTCACTTCAGTATGTGAAGCAGGAGCAGTACAATATAATAACAGGGTCCGTGTGTGTCAAACCCTGGCACATTTCATGCGTGCAGTAATCCTAGAGATAGTTACGATCATAATCTCGGATGTACAGATGACAAAAATGAGGCTCAGAGAGGTTAAGTGATTTGCCTGGGGATATGGAACTAATAAATGATAAAACTGGGATTGACAGAGCTCTCTGTCTCTGGGGGTCAGACAGCTGGCCACTTGGTGCTATTCTGTAGTAGACTATGTGGGAAGAGGCCCGGGCTTGGAAGCCAGGGCATCACGGGATTGGAACCTAGATCTACTGCTAACTAGCTGTGTGATTAACAGCTGGACTGCTAACCTCTCTGTGCTTCAGAATGCTAATCTTCCAGACCCAGAGTTTAGACTAAGAGGCTTCTAACAGACCTTTCTGTGAAGTTTCCAGTCTACATGGATAATATTTCAAAGTAGGATTAAAGGAAAGAAGAGGGGCCCTTCCAATAAAAATAGGCTTGTCGCAGTTTCCCTGATAAAATAAATGCTGCCCTAAGATCTCAAGTAGATGGTTAATGTGATATGCAGGCAGTTATAGATTGGTGGTGTCTGAAGAAGCTGGCTGAAGTTTCCTTCTCCAAGGGAAAGAAGTCTGTTTTCAAAAGGAACGCTTCACTGTCTTGTCGGGGCTCTGGGGCCTGGGCCTTGCCCCTCACTTAACTTTCTGGGGACACAGGCATTGTGGAAGAAGACACAAACCCTGATTCCCTCCCCCCTTCCGATATTTTCTCCAAACTAAATAAAATTTATTGGCTGGAGATGTTTGTTGCTCTGACGGCAAGGGACAGCGGGGAGAGAAATATGGCTTTGGGAAGAATTTGCTCCAGCCTTCGGTGCTGGTTCTCCTCCACAGCCTGGTTTCTGCCCAGAAGCCAGAGATGCTGGCTCTCAGTGAAATCAATTTTGATTTTCATAGCAGGGCACCAGACATCAGGGCTGAGTGTTTCCAAGTGCTGTGTTCATCGGCTGGTCCTTACCACCCCACTCCCATCCGCCTTGAAAAATGTAGCCATCCTACAGTTGGGGAAAGGTTTAAAAGACAAGGAACATCAAGTTGGGTAGCGGCTGAGTAGAGCCTAGTATGATCATGGTCTACACTTCTTAGGTGCGATACCAAGTGTGTAGCAGGGGGCCACTTCATCAGTAATTGGTTAAGTGTTTTAAGAGATCGTTTTCATGTATCATTTGTATGATTTTTTTTTTTTTTTTTCTGGTACGCGGGCCTCTCACTGTTGTGGCCTCTCCCGTTGCGGAGCACAGGCTCCGGACGCGCAGGCTCAGCGGCCATGGCTCACGGGCCCAGCCGCTTTGCGGCACGTGGGATCTTCCCAGACCGGGGCACGAACCCGTGTCCCCTGCATCGGCAGGCGGACTCTCAACCACTGCGCCACCAGGGAAGCCCCATTTGTATGATTTTTAAATAAATAAATACTAAAGGCCATCACTCCTCTCTTCCTCAAAGAAGGATTACTAGCCCTGTGGGCCGGAGCAAGTGATTCACGTTGACCGAAGAAGTTCAGGTTCCTCACCTGTACATGCTGTTGGTAATACTCACTCAGGGTTCTTCTGATACAGAAAACAGAGACTCCCTTAAGCTGGCTCTAATGAAGCGAGTGAGGAGCTATAAAATGCAGTATTGATATCTAAGCAGAGGCCTGGAAGGAGGCCAGGCATCCTTGAGGTGGCAGGGAGAGCGTTCTGAGTCCGAGGATATTCCACCGGTGCAAGTGGTCACTGGTCTTCACGTTGAGTACCATTGGCCCAACTCAGCACCTGTGCCCGCCCCCCCCTCTTCCCCGCCACCTCACTGTACTATCACACTCTCCTTTGTCTCTGAGTTCGAGTTCCAGAGAGGATCCTATTGTCTGAGCTTGGTTCTCTAGAAGCTGAGGTTTTCTCTCCAGGTCAGTCTCTGGTCAGCTTTGGCTAACCAGATAGGAGGGGAGGCCAGAGGAGGGTCATATGTGCAGAACTTGACCTTCTTAGGCAGGAAGGGCTGAGGGTGGAGATTCCTTGAGAAAGAGATGAAAGTGAGCTGGAATTCAGGAATCTGCTCAGTACAGGTGCTTACTGAGTTATGAAGGATCAAACAGAGATTCTTAACTTGGGGCTTAACAGCCCCAGGGGGCTCATAGGTAGAATTCAGAGGAGTCTGTGAACTTGGGTGGGGAAAATAATAACATCTTTATTTAGCATTTTCTTCGATTATGAATGTAGGCAACAAACCACAGTGTATTTGCAGTATCTGTGACATTGTCACCAGTAGAAATCACAGATATTTTCATATCAAATTTCAGTTGCTGCATATATCTGGAACATGATTTATGCCCATCACAGCTTTGAAATTACAGCAGTTATTATACCTGCTGCTAGAGCTTATTATTTAATGCATTAATAAGGAACATATACTACTATATTACACACTCATTTGAAAAAGTAATAATTATATTTCAATGTAATTGGTTTTCTTTGTAGTCAAGCTATGTATTTTATTTTATATATTTTAAAATGTTCTGAGAAAGGGTCCATAGACTTAATCAGTCTGCTAAAGAGGTCCATGGCACAAAAAGGGTTAAGACCCCCCCCCGAAAGTCAGTGAGCTTTAGTTCCCAATTTCCCACCGTCCCTCGCCCTAATCTTTCATATACCCATCTATCTCTGTCCAATTAGTGCAAGACATTCTTGAGCAGTAGTAAATTTCATTTAATAGTTTGGCAAATTTGCAAAAGCACATAATTTGTAGTTTGGGTAGAAGGTTTTAATGTATATCGAGAAGTAAATTTACAAATTACGGGCACACACGGGCAACTGGTTCGGTAACTCCTATCAGCCTGCAAACCCATCAGCTTCTGCGTTCATGGCCAATCCCATGCAAACCAGTCCATCGAAACAGCCACAGAATAGGCAGTTATGTTCTTGAGAGGTTAAGGAGCTTGTGTAGATTACGTGATGAATCACTTGATCAAATGCAAGCTAGAATCCTAGGAGAGAAGAGAACCACAGGGAAAAATAGCTTTGAAGTGGGTTCTGAAATGGCGGGAATGAAAAGGAGGCTGAACGGAGGAGGGAGGGAGTCAGTGAGGATGTGGGGGAACTGGCCAGATGTTGATTTTGAGGAGGATGCCTGGAGAGATGCGAGCCTCCCCGGAGCAGCACTCGAATAGTGGTTGGTTTTTTGCTATCTTTTATTGAGTTCTTACCATGTGCCAGACACTGAGTCAAGCCCTTTAAATATAGCAGTGATATAATCTTTACCGAGTACCCAGTAAGGGATAATTGCTATCATTCCCATTGTACTGGTGAGTAAAGTGAGGCTCCAAGAGGTTAAATACTTGCTCTAGGTCACAGAGGTATTAAATGGTGCAGCCAGGGGCTCAGCCCAGACCTGCCTGATCCCAGAACCCCGTGCTCTTAAAAACCATGATAGGCAACCACAGGAGAGTCTGTCTAGAAAAACTGTGGCTGCCAATTTGTTTTGGTAAGAAAGTGCTTACTATCCATTCCTGTCTTCCCCACCCTTCTCTCCAGCCTTTCTGCCTGTTCTCACACCTCCTTCCTTCCCCTCTCCACCCTGAATCCACTCACAGGCACACATGCTGCAGGAGTGAGGACAGGATAAAAATTAAGAGCGAAAGCTGTGGGGTCAGGCAGGATGGGGTCCTAACTCCGGCTCTGTCACCTGGCTCTGACCATGCCCATTACCTCCAGAGGTAATGACGCGCCCTTCCTAAATTTGCATGTCCTCTCTCTAGTGCTTTGTTTTGGATAAGTGCCTCCACTCTTTGCTTACAGAGAGTCATCGTCCCCATCTTCTTCACACACACGGGCTGCTCTGGGAGGGCTTCCCTGAACCCGCCGCAAACCTGGCCCGTGGGCAGCAGGCATCACTCCTCTTAGTGGAGGATTCATGAGCATTACTCGGGAGGCTGTCCTCTCTTGGGTATAAGCTCCCGTCCTTATCCCCCGTGCTTAGTGCAGCATCTGGTGTGGAGTGCTTTTCAGTAGAGCCTTGATAAAAGCCAATGAACAGTGTCCTTTCAGGCCCCCATTGCCCATCCTTGGCACCCATTCTGGGTCCCATCACCTAGAGTTTGTCTCTAGGAAACCTCACTGGTTACCTAGACACGGGCGCCTGCTCCAGTCTCACAGATGAGTATACTGAGGATAGGTGGCAGGTCCTGGTGGCCTGGGAGTAGGTAACTGAGCTGGAACGGGAACCCAGGCCTCTTGCACCAGCACGCTGCCTGGTCCTGACACTAATGCTGGGAGTGCCTCTTCCACACTGGTAAGCAGGCTGATACTTTTGCATCAGGGGACATACGTGGAGCACCTAGAATCACGTGCTTCCGCAGTTGCTCGCTTGCTCCACTCTTGTGCCTGCCTCGGGGCTAGCCTTCTGACCCACTCTTCTCTCTCATTCTAACCCCATGCCCTGGGCTTTGCCAGCTGCTGAATGGAGCCCTGTGTTAGCCGGGCCCGTGGGTGGCCACCTTCGGGTGATGCCCGGTGGTGCCAGAGGTTCTTGCCCTAAGAACTCTGCCCACAGGCAGAGCCGAGGCCTGAAATTCCTGGCATTAGAGTCATTTCATTCCTTTGGGTTACTTTGTCTTCTCCAGAGAGCTATTGTTAAAATGCAAATATGTTTGTATATGTCCATGACTCTCTCTCGCCCTGTCACAGCTCACCCTTCCCCCTCCCCATAACCTCAAGTCCGTTCTCTAGGAGGTCTGCGTCTTTATTCCTGCCTTACCCCTAGGTTCTTCATGACATTTTTTTTTTCTTAAATTCCATATATATGTGTTAGCATACGGTATTTGTCTTTTTCTTTCTGACTTACTTCACTCTGTATGACAGACTCTAGGTCTATCCACCTCATTACAAATAGCTCAATTTCGTTTCTTTTTATGGCTGAGTAATATTCCATTGTATATATGTGCCACATCTTCTTTATCCATGCATCCGATGATGGGCACTTAGGTTGTTTCCATCTCCGGGCTATTGTAAATAGAGCTGCAATGAACATTTTGGTACATGACTCTTTTTGAATTTCGGTTTTCTCAGGGTATATGCCCAGTAGTGGGATTGCTGGGTCATATGGTAGTTCTATTTGTAGCTTTTTAAGGAACCTCCATACTGTTCTCCATAGTGGCTGAACCAATTCACGGACATATACACACTAACAAACGTAGTAAGGTAGATAGCTGGTTGGAAGCAGCCGCATGGCACAGGGATATTGGCTTGGTGCTTTGTGACAGCCTGGAGGGGTGGGATAGGGAGGGTGGGAGGGAGGGAGACGCAAGAGGGAAGAGATATGGGAACATATGTATATGTATAACTGATTCACTTTGTTATAAAGCAGAAACTAACACACCATTGTGAAGCAATTATACCCCAATAAAGCTGTTAAAAAAAAATGCAAATATGTTACCCCACACGGTAACCTGTTACCCCAGTACTGTGGCCCCTTGGAAGAGAAGAATGTCTGGGCTTTGGTTAAGTCACACCACCTCCCTGGCCCTCAGTTTCTTATCTGTAAAATGGAGATAATAAGAGACTGCATTATGGGGTTACCCCGAGGACGAAATGATATAGTGCACATGAAGCGCTGGACACATAATAAGTAGTCAATAAAATTAGCTCTTTTTTTCTTTTTAAAACTGTAGGATTATTTGGTCAGTTCTCTAGCTGAAGTTCTGGATCTTCTTAGTTTGTTTTTTTAAGTATTTTGTTTTAATGTCGTCTCCTTTTGTTTTAAGATTTTTTTTCCTTTCTAATTATAAGATGGTTTTGACCTTCATCTTCTTACTTTTAAAATAGGGTAAAAGATCCTACCTTATTGGTTTATTGAGGATTTACGGAGCCTGAAGGGCTGACTGTGGATGCCAGGCCTGCCCAAGGCGCTCACAGAAAGCCTGCTCTCCTGAGTTAACCTGGAGGTGGGGATCGAAAGCCCTTGGGGAGTTGGGGGGAGGTTCTGGGTGGGTCCCAGGGAGGAAATAGGGGATGAGGAGGGAGGAGAAAGGGGAAATGAGGGGAACCCTGCTTCCTCTGCCCCAGCTGCTTGGATGTCGAGTCTGGGTGGGAGGGGACCTGGGAATCCTGCCCCACCCCTGGGAGAGGTTGGACCCTGTGACCCTTCCCCAGATCGTTTGCCTTCTAGGTGAGTTCTCTGAGGTTCTGAATTCCCTGTAGGAATGGTGTCCTTGGCCTCCCTCCCTAGCTTGACTTTGGTCGAGTAGTGGTGAGGAGCCTCTGGGGAAGACTCAGCCCCACCATCATCCATCATAACTGAAGTTATCCTTCCCAAGCAGAGCCTGACTAATGCAGAAGATCACATTCCCTAGAGCTGGAGGCCTGGAACAAAGAGTGGAGGTGAATGCTGGTTCCTGGCACCCCGCAGCCAAGCAGCAACCTGCCACCTGCCTGCCCGACTCTGGGGGTGGAGAAGAAGGGGGTGCAGTGGGAGTCTTCCCAGTCATCTGCTTTGGGGTGGAGCACAAAAGGGCCAGCGTCATTTTCACCCCAGAAGTGGGGCTTGGAGCCCTGCAGTTCATTATACCTCACGTTCGTTGATTGCCTATGGGCTGTTACTATCCTTTTTTCTCTCTTTCCCTCTTTCCTCCTTCCCTGCATCATTCCCTCCCTCCCTTCCCTCCTGCCGTCCAATAAATACTGACTGATCACTTGCTCTGGGCCAGGTACCAGGCTAGATAAGGAGCTTTCAGCTCAACAGAGACAAGAATCAGATAGCTAATGACAGGATAGTTTGATGAGTGTGCTGACAGGTGTCCTTACAGGGTGCTGTGGGAACACAGAATGTGGGGGAGGGAGACCCATCCTGATTGGTGTGTAGAGAAGGGGAAGACACTGGTAGGTAAAGCATCTTGAGGGCTGAGCAGGAGTTACCAGTTGGAGAAGGAAGGAGTAGGATCCTGGGTAGCGGGAGCAGAAGGAAGTCCAGAAGATGCACAGCTAGAGGATATACAGAAAGCTCAAGAAGATCACTTATTCACTGAGTTTTGGTTATCTCTCCTGTAAAATGAGAATAGGACCAAAGTCATAGCTATCACACACACATATACACACAATCCTTCCTTCCTTTTTTCCAATGTATTTTATTTTTTACCAGAAAGATTTACCCATGTGGAAATAATGGCAATGAGAGGCAGAACGTGCAAAGTGCTGGAGTCAACGGAAATACGATGGCGGGTTATAGCTTTTTGGAGGATGGGCAATACTAATTAAGATTGATATTGAGAATTAGGAATTGTTGGCACAATTTAAGAAGATCCTGGAAGGGTGGGAAAGACTCTGGTAGAGAAGACAGAAAAGGGCATCTTAAGGGGCTGGTACAGTGAGCAAAGGCAAAGCGAGGTGTGGCTGCATTTGTCAGGGCCAGAGGAGTTGGGGGTGAGGCTGGAAAGGTGGGCTGAGACCACTTCGATGCCTAACTGGTGGGCACACGGGCAACATTTGGTGTGCATGTGGGTTTATTGGACCTGCGCAGTGTTAAAAAAGAAAAAAAGAATTAAGTCGACATTAAAAGATCAGATTTTACATAAATCCACATTCCTGGCTTCTTTTGAAGAAAATCAGGTCTGGCAATACTAACCTTGAGTTAATCCCCACATGGCAGCAGCTGGCTGGAAGGTGAGTGGTGGACATTCAGGATGTCACTGTAGCCCACAGTCACAGGTTGCATCTCCCACTGGCGAATTAGCTTGACTTCTCCACTGTTCAAATCACTCTCGAGTTAATACAGTTATGTTCAGAAAGCTCCTAATAAAATGCTAATACATTACAAGGAAGCAGAAAGAAAATTCTAAGCCATTAACATTGTAGTTCCTTTATTAGATTAGGGGATGAATTTTACTACTCCTTGGGTAAATTTTAACCGGGGAGTAGCAGTTAGGGGGAGAAAATGGGATGCTTGATGCATGATGGTTTGAGATGGAAACTCTAAGAAGTGAAGGGTGGGAGTGGACACCTGGAAAGATGAAGATGGCGGGGCCCTGTGGTGAGTCATTGTGCCCACTCCTCTCAGCCGTGGCGTCTGCCGTCTGCTGGGGAAGGACACCAAAACACCTGTCCTTTTAATTTATTTTATAAATAAAAATACTTATTGCATTGTAAGACATTTGCTACCTATTTTGTTGACTTTTAAGCTTAAAAAATTGGACTCTTGGGCTTCCCTGGTGGCGCAGTGGCTGAGAGTCCGCCTGCCGATGCAGGGGACGTGGGTTCGTGCCCTGGTCCGGGAAGATCCCACATGCTGCGGATCGGCTGGGCCCGTGAGCCATGGCCGCTGAGCCTGCGCGTCCGGAGCCTGTGCTCCGCAACGGGAGAGGCCACAACAGTGAGAGGCGCGCGTACCGCAAAAAAAAAAAAAAAATATTGGACTCTTGAAGGACAAGGTGAAATTTGTGTGGTTTTTTTTAATTGATAAGGAAAATAATGGTAAGGAGAAAAGTTCTTCTATTTTTTGAATAATTTTTGGAGTGTGTGTGTATGTGTGAGTGGCTGGTCTTTTGAAAGGCTCAATAAACCTGACTGGGAAATTTTAAATTAATTATTTAAAATATTATACCAGTTAGTAGCAAACATTCAGAATAATATAAGAATGTATGAAGGAGTAAACCCCACAAACTGTCAAGAATTGGTGTTTAGGGCATATGGGAGAGTTTGGAGTGTATTGTTCTAGACTTGGCACTATACCTAAATGAGATATAGCTATATCCTTGCATAGACCTAGGTATACGCTCACATATATATCTGGATAGAAATTTTTTAATAAAAATGAGGTTTTGCAGACTGTTCCGCTATGTTTTTCTCCTAATCCTCTATCTTGCACATATTACAGGTCATTACATCACCTCTGGGCCTATGTAAGGAGAGTACAATGAAAAAGACTGCTGGATAGAAAGGGCTAGTTTTGAGCTCTCCCTGCTCTCTTCCTAGCCTCAAGTACTCTCCTCTGTAAAATGGGGATAATTCTTCCTTCGTTAGAATTAGGGTTAAATTAGGGTTAAATAGAATGCAAATGTACTCAGCACAGCTTATTGGATATTGGGTGATCAGAGCCCATTATACCGTCGAGAAAATGTTTTCACTCCTTGGATTCTTCATTCTCCACCCTTCATCCCGTTGGGAGAGGAGTGGTGGGGGGTTGGGGGGTGAGGGTGAATCTGGGGCAAATTACAGCTTTTCTCAATGGAGTTTAAAACCCTCTTTTCAGTGCTGAGTATCATTAAAATCTCGAGCAGTTCATTAACAGATGCATTCAGTTTTGTTTAGGACATTTTCTCCGGACCCACGTTTATTTATTCAGCTGCAGGAAAATTCCTGAAGTCAGGTATGTGAGCAGGAAGGTATGTCTGATAGAAAGGCTGTGACCTGTGCCTGCCCTTCGTAGAGGCGCCCTCTTGCCAGTGGGGAAAGTCTGCCCCTCTTAGTACAAGGGGGGATTCATACCTCATCTTTGTAAATGGCATCCCCTCCTGCTAGAACCTTCCCTTTTCCACTTCTCTCCTTCCCCTTCTGGTGCTAGAGTACCATGTTCTCTTTCTTTTGTGTAACACGTCTTTAACAAAGACCTCTTACCCCAATATCTCATTGAACCCTCCAACAAGTCAATAGATTTAGGTCCGTTATAATATGACAGATGAAGCAGCTGAGGCCCAGAGGAGCTGTGATAGGAGTCAAACTCACAGCAAAACTCGGACAGATCTGGATTTCTTGGCTCGCAAGCCATGCTAGTCGTGCTGTATCATGTTGCCTCCTTTTCTGATTGTTGGCAGGAAGCTCCTGAAAGGGAGGGCTACAGGAGGGCCCCTCGTTCTGGCCAGTGGGGAAGACTGTTTGGAATGCGTGAGGTTGTAGGGCTTAGGGTGCTGGGAGAGACTGGTGAGAGCAGACGAAGGGGACGGGTTTGGAGGTCACCCCAAGGTCAGTGGAGGGGGCAGCCGGGAGCTGGGGAGGTTGAGAATGGCCTGGTGCAGAGCTTGGACACCAAAAGGGAGGCTGGCCTTTGTGGTCACTGGCAGGTTTGTGGGCTTTTCCAACATTTGGTCTCATTTTGAATGTTCGGCCCTTTTTTTTGCCTCAATTAGTAGCACGCTGTAAAATCCTCTCCCATACCCCACAGAGGAACCCTTTCCTAATTCAGGTCACATCTCCCTGGCCCTCTATTTCCACATCCAACAAATCAAAACTTATCAGTTCTGTTTCCCATTCTCTCAGAGAACAGCTGAGAGAGCTATTCAGATAACCTTATTTGCTTTAATGAGCTGCTGGCAGGATACATTTATCTAGAACACGTGTAATATCACAGTAGCCTCACAGACCAGCTCTTCTCAATAGAAACGTAACGCGAGTCACATTTAAAACGTTCTAGCAGCACATTAAATAAAATAAAAAGGAAACGGGTGACATTAATAATATATTTTTCTTTAACCCAATTTATCATTATTTTAACATTTTAACAAAAAAAACGAATGAGATATTTTTCCATTGGTTTTCTCATCGTAAGTCTTCGAAATCCATTGCACATTTTACACTCACAGCACATTTTAATTCAGACGAGCCGCATTTCAAATGCTCAGTAGCCACATGTGTTGAATAGTTTGTGGCGATGGTTTTGGCCAGTGTAGTTATGAGGCTTCGTTCACTGGTAAACCGAGAAGGCTTATTTGGGGATGGGTAATGGGGTGCTTCTGGGCCCCTTTGTGATCAGGGTGTCTTTGGGCGGGACGGCCCATCAGCAGACCTCGGTCACAGCACATCGTGGCTGCTTGCCCTGTCCTCACCTTTGTGCTTGTTGTCATGGGTGACATGATGCTGAAAATATTCCCCTCGCCCACTGTGCCACCACCCACACTATTTGTGTCCTCCCTCGCCCTCTCCCGTCTTCCCCCTTGACACCTTTGACTTTTGTAAACCCCAATCCTAGATTTAACTCTACTGTGCCCTTTCTCTGATCCTGCCTTGGGACTGCTGGATTCATTTTAAATCCATGCCCTTTGACCTCAGCTGCTACTTGTCACCCTCACGTTTGTCTCAGTTGTCTCTCATCCCCCTCGCTGACTGTTGCAAACCTCACCTGCTTCCTTGAGCTCTCAAATCCATCCACACGTCCTCGTTCTCAGCACGGGGGCAGTTCCTCCCTTACTGAAAAGGTGGAGGTCATGTGGCTTGAGTGCTTTCATCTCCACCTCGCAGTTTCTCTTCATCTGTGCTCTTCTCTCCCTGGCCAGAGCCTTAAAAACCTTCCCTTCCCACCTCCAGAAACGCTCTGCTTCAAACTGGCCGTGAAGCTCTGGCTTCAGATCCTTCAAATCTCAGGTCTGCCTACTGCTAGCCTGGGTAAGTTGTTTAAGTGCTCCGTGCCTGGTTTCTTCATCGCAAAATACGACTAATATGACTCATAAGGTCGCCTAGTGCCTATGGTGGTGGCGAAGGTGAAATTCAGTTTCGTGGCATGTTTTAACACAGAGCCTGGAGTAAATGTTGACTCTTATGTCCCCTTCTCTTTCTGGTGTCTCAGTCCATCCCTCTCCCCTGGCTTCTCCCCTTGGCCTGCAAACACACTCCCTGTCCTAGCAGTTCACCTTATCCCTCCCTTGAGCGGCTGCCCATCTCTCTCCTGAATTCCACTGAAGTATCGAAGAGTAGCCCCACCTGTTGCCTCTACCCTCTTGTCAGCCCCAGGCATCTTCCCCCTGCGCTACTGACACTGTGCTCACTGGTTTTCTCCACTCACCCTCCTTTGGATTTCTGGGCTGCGAGCCACACTGGTTCTTCTTCCCCGCCCCCCGCTCCCCGCTGTGACTTTCCCCACACTCCTCTAATGTCGCTCTAGCTTCTCACTGCCCCCCTCACCTCTGCATGACTCTAGATGACTCTAGAATCTACACTCTCGTCTTCAGGCTTCTCCTCTGCCCCAGGCCCACCTTTTCTACTGTCTGCTGGGCCACCCTCACAGGATAAACCCCTCTCTGTGGGTGAACCCCTAGGCAGGCACACTTGTGCCCGAGGACACTAACAGTCCAGTCTCCTACTCTCGGATCTCTTCTCCCTCCTGACCTCCCTAACTCAGCTGTGGTTCCCGCCACTCTCTAGATACCCAGGTCTGAAACCCTGCAGTTTTTGACACTTCCTTCTCCTCCCAAATCCAGTGCCTGAACTAAAGTACAGAAAGTCCCCTACACACGAACCTTCAAGTTGTGAACTTTCAAAGGTGCAAACATGCCCCTGGATGCCAGCCGTTGTACTGTACTACTGTACTTTTCAAGGTACTGTACTGTAAAATTAAAAGTGTTTTCTTTTTTATTTGTTTGTTTTTTATGTATTATTTTTGTGAAAAGTATTATAAACCTATTACAGTACAGTACTATACAGCCAATTGTGTTAGTTGGGTACCTAGGCTAACTTTGTTGGACTTAACGAACAAATTGGACTTCCAAACGTGCTCTTGGGATGGAACTTGTTCGTATGTAGGGGACTTACCGTAAGTGTTTAGTAACCAAAGGTTATAATCAATGAATCCCATTGGCGGCCAAGTCCTGCCCTTTTCTTACTTTCTCTCTAGTTCATCACTTTTCAATTCCCACTATAGGCCCTATGGTAAGCATTTGCTATACTTCATCCCAATTCATCTGTCCAACCCTGTAAGGAAGAAGTTGTGTTTTTTTCTGTTTTATGTACGTGGACACTGGGGCTGGCAGAGTTTAGGGAATTTGCTAAACATATGCTGGTAAGCGGCAGAGCTGGGATTCGGACTCAAGCCTGCCTCTCTCCAAAGCCCACCTTCCTATTATGCTCTCTTGCCTCTAGCAGTTCCTGTACCAGGCTATGCTCTTTTCAGAATTGAATATGTATTGTGTATGTACATGAACACAACCTTCTGTGCCTGTATTGTTTGCGTGTTAGTGTTCTATATACCCTGCTGTTACCCAGGCTCATCGCTGGTTTATTTCAGAGTCTGTGCCTTGACCCTCAGTGTCAGCACTTGAAAGCCTTCACTGAGCCCAGGTCCCCACCATGAAACGCCAGAGCCTAGAAGTAGGAATGTGAACACATCTTCCAACAGGACATATGTTTCCCTTTCTCGGGTCTCAGGCTCCCCATCTGTAAAATGAGAGAGTTGCACAAGTTAATTGCAAGAGCCTGTCCTGCTCTTAGGTTCCATGAATCTGTTTCGTGTTTCTGCTTACCTGGGGCCTACTGTATGCTCAGCACGTGATAGATGCTGTGGGCAATGCAGAGAGAGCACAGGAGGCATCGCCCCAGCTGTTAAGGAGCTGACAAAATTACTCCGGAAAACAAGCCAACATTCAGGAAACTACCAGCAGTATAAGACATTATGTAATTATGCCTGCAATCTCAGATTATTGAACCATTGGTGATGGTTCAGTAAAGGAGAAGAAAAACTGCTGTTCTTTTAAAAGAAAAAAAAAAATACATAAAAGGAGCCATTAGTGAAAAGCATTGTCTGGCCAGATTTCTCGTCAGATTTGCGACTCTCTCTTCCCTCTCGAAATCAGTCCATAAAATACTTACTGTCTACTGATGAGCCAGGCCCTTGGGACACACACACTCCCTCATTGCAGCCAGAGCTGTATCCCAAACCCAGCCTTCATCTGGTTCCTCTCCTGCTGAAGAACCTTTGTGGGTTTCCTACTCTATAGAATAAAATGAGCTGACTTCCAGCTCCTGCCTTCTCCCTCCTGGGCCCCCCACCCTGCATGCTAGGCCTGGTGCACCGGTCATTCCTCAAGCCCACTGTACCTGTTTTCATCTCTTGGCTAGAGGACTGCTTTACCCAGCCTGCCTAGTGAACTTCTGTGCATCCTTCAAAGCCCAGCTCAGATACCACACTGTGATGCTTTCGTGCTCTTCTATCATGCCTTTGCCTACCCCTATGACACCATGTGTCCTTGTTTAGGTCTCTACCTCCTGTTTCGAACCATGAGTTCCTTAAAGGGGCTTTATCCCCTGTCTTCATCATCCACGAATCCACAGAACCTAGCCCTGAGCATGAACAATAGTTTCTGATGAATGGCTGATCTTTGAACAGGAAGCTCCCTTTGCTTTCTCTCAAGCTGCTGGGCTGTTTAACTCCATGCCTCATGGCCTGCGAAGGAGACTGGATGGTTGAGAAAGCATCACTGTTTCCTCTTTCCACACAGTAGTGGGGACACACCGCCACAAGAGCCTCACTGTAGCCCTGGAGGGGGACTTTCAAAATCAGCGGCCGCTGACACCATACCTAGCAGGGGCTGTGCTGAAGGAGGCCTTTGTGTTGGGCTTGGCAGGCAGGGGGCTCTGTGTTCCAGAGCACAAGTGTGTAAGTATGTCGGGCAGGCTCCGGGCTGCACACACCCGCCGAGGGCCTGGGCCCCTAACGGCTCCTGCCCTGGGAAGAAAAGGAGGCATTGTGTGCGCTGGCTGCGCTCCAAGGGAAATATTCCTGTTGTTCTTCTGTTTTGAACTGCTCCCTTTTTAAAGGGGAAAAGTCCAGAAGTGCAAATCTCTCTCCCACTCCAACACATCCTGTCCACCAATTCCAAATCAGCTGCTGCCTTCACAATATCAATCAATCTGCAAATCCATCAGTTCATTCGTGTGACTGCTGTGTCTTCAAGGAGCACTGCTAGGGGTCAGCACTGTACTGGGCACGGGGGAGACAGCCCTTGTCCCTTTGAGGCTCAGTTCGGGATTGCTGGGTGTTCAGATCCTTGCGGACCCTGGCCCTGCTCCTTCTCTGGGGCCCGATGTCCCTCTGCAACTCAAGACTCTGCCTTGAGGCCTCTGCCCCTGCCTGTTCTCCACCTCCACGACCTGGCCCTGCATTGTATCACCTCCCAGAGGCAACGTGTTATCAGGCCACCACCCTACCCTCACCCAGGCCTTGCAGGCAGGTGTGGTCAGAACCATGGCCCAGTCTGGACGGTCAGAAACTTAAGCAGGAAGACCTGATTCAACCCTAGCTCTGCCTCTCACTATCTTTGTGACTTGCACCAAGTTACTCAAGCTCTCTGGGCTTCGGCTTCCTAATCTGCAAACCAGAACAAATGATACCTGGCCTCACACACAGAGCCACTGGGAGGAGGAAATGGCACTGTACTGCCTGGCACCAGGCCTCTCCTGCCACACGGCAGCTCCCAATTAGTAATAACCAAACAATGAACAACTATTGAGCACTTACTAGTCTCATCCTTCCCTCAGAAACAACAGCAACCACGGCTTCTGTTTGAGTGTTTTCTACATGCCAAGTTTTGTGTTAAGTCCAGGCATAGCGCCATCAGAACAGCCTCTAAAGTGCTTGGTTCTTTCTTATACCCTTTCGTAGCTGGGGAAACTGGCTCCGAGATAGAGTGCCGTGGCCAAGGTCACACAGCTTGCAAGCACCGGAATGAGGAATTGTGCCTAGGTCTGTTGGACCCCTTCCCATCCCTTCCCAACCAGACAGATGCCCATCACAGGCCTGGCTTCTTGGTTCTGGGACCTGAAGCATCAGCATCTCCTGATAGCTCATTGGAAATGCAGATTCTCAGGCCCCGCCCCACACCCACTGAATCAGCATCTACGTTTTATCAAGATCTTTGGGCGCTGTGTGTGCATAATACAATTTGAGAAGCACTGAACTGAGTTTCTAAAGTGTTTTTAAAAGTAAGTCAGAAAAGGACTTCTCAAACTATAGAGTGCATAAAAATCTCCGGGAGGGCTCGTTAAAACACTGATTCCTGCCCCGGAGATTCTGATTTTTGTATCCATTGCTCCTTCCATTCTTATCTATTGCCTTCACTTCGTGGGTTCCTCGGTGTAGGTGTAGCGGATGTGAGTAGGATCCAGGCAAACTTCTGGCTCAAGTCTTGGCACAAGGCTGCTCATGGGTTATGTATGCAGAGCCATTAAGGGAAATCTGGGCTGGACTTGGGGCCTGCACGGAGTCACTGGCAGCAGCATCCCTCTGCTTTGGGGGAAACTGCCCCACTGGCAGGGAGGTACATCTCTCTCCTGAGTTATACGAGGAAGGAGCCATGGGTCCCTGCGGCAGCCACACCACCCTCCCTGCCCCTTTGAACAACAAAGAAAGGAAATTAACTTGTAACCTAAAAGCCTGAAAAATACATCTTTCTAATGGAAAATTTGACAGAGGGATAGATCTGCAAAGAGCATTTTCTCTAAAATTCACATCTCTGTGACTTGACTGCTGCTATCTGGTTAAATAGCAATTAAACAGCTCAAGCCGCCTTGGAACTTTCAAAGATTATTTGAAAAGTAATTGTGTTGTATTGATTAAATAATTTTAAGTTCATCAGAAAGCCACTGCATTCCTTAGTCTATTCCTTTGCAAATAAATTTATCTCATTTATAGTCCTATTGCATGCCTCCCAAATGTTGTTTATATGTTGATAATCATCTGATATTTAACGAGCACGGCTGGTGATGGAATTTAACGGTAAATTAGTTCCTTTGCTAAATCCTGTCTCCTTCCTTCTCTTTCTGTTCTGACTCCACTGGCAACTTACTTCATAGACAGTTGCAGAACTAGAACCTGAGAGACAGAGAACACCGTAGTTAAGAGGTTGGTCTCTGGAGTGAGACACACCTCAATTTGAATTCCAGTCCTGCAGCTGACTAGCCTGTGCCCTGAGCCTATCATCTGTGAAGAGGGTATAATAGTCCCTACCCAGTATGATCATTGTGAAATTAAACGTCATCATTGTACAATACTGGAGAGTGTCTGGCTAACAATGAAATCATTATTATAACAATATGAGTAGTCACTGTTATGATGATGCCACCTCAGTTTTTTAATCTGTAAAATGGGTGTGACGGGGAATAAAAGCATAAACACATGAGTATTCAAAACTTCTCTGCCCGTAGAGCCTTCGAGTAATTCCCTTCTAGGAAAATTTCTGGCATAGCTTGCTTGGCTGTTACCCCTCCACTATTATGCCGACTGGGGTCATCCAGTGATGGGAAAGCTCTGGACAAATGGAGCCAATGTTGGGATTGTGACGAGGATAGAGAGAGATGGCAGAGGATGGGTGCGTAGATGCCAGAGGTGAGGGAGTGAAGATCCAGGCAGAAGGGATTGCATAAGGGATGTTGGGGATCAGAGCACGCTGCTTCTGGAGCAGTTACTTTGCTGGAAATAGATACTGAGAGTAGCAGAGATAGGAAAGGAAAAATTTAAGACTTTTGCTTTGTGCTAAGAATGCACTTCCTCTTTTGTGTTTTCTCTAGAGACTGCAGTGAAGCTTTGGATTGCCTCCAATTCATTTTTTTCTACTTAAATGCTGTCTCTTTGAACACAACCCTGAGCTGTGGCTGGGCCATAAGGTGGCCATCTTTACCTCAT